CAATCATTTCAGCGCTTGATTTATCAATTGTTTCAGTTTATATAGAGAATGTGTATAACCCGGTTCTTGTTGCTGTTTATATAGGAATAATGTATAACCCAGGCCTTTGTTCCTGTGATTTGCATTTATTGTTATTAGTGACTATGTTAAATTTATTGTCTTTTTTACTTATTGATATGGTTTATTTGCACGGGCTAATTACTTTATGTTTATGTTTTATTACTTTGGTATTTTGTTTTATTGTGCTGACTTCTATTGGTATTATTTACTTGCACTTTGAGTACTTCGGTCGATGTTACTTTCTTCAGTGTCTTCATCGGTACCACTGATGTTGTTAGTACATTTTATCATTGTCCTTCTTGTCGGGAGTATTGTTGAAATCTTTTGTTGTTTTTATATCATGGATTGTTTTATGTCGATGAGCATGGCTTCGGCTAATTTAAGATGGGAATGGCTGGAATTACAGTATATTATTTTGGTGTTGTTGTCCAGGATTTCTCTTGTTATTTCAATGTTATGCGTGTGTTCCAAGTGTGTTTTTATAGAACCTTCCCTTTTATGCATGGTCAGACGTCAGTTAGCGATTTTATAGTTACCCCGATATATGAAATATTCTGACGTGCACAGCCGTCAAGAGGACATGTAAATTCATATACCAGATGGCTCTGTTTTAGAGCCGAACCATGTTGAGGAGTGCAGCTGTTGTTTATGACAAGGTTTAAAGTATGATCATGTATCACCAATACTGAGACAACTGCACTGGATAACCGTCAAAAAAGAGTAATCTTCAAAATATTAAGCAAAATCAACACATATGTAGTAAAAATACTTTTTACAAACGGTACAGGGAAGGCTATCCTTTAAGATGACATTATTATTACCTATTACCGCATTTATAGCAGCACATGAACGAGACATCTTACTACAACTTGCTTAATTCACTATTATAAAAATAACTCAAACTCAAATGCAAGACAATATGTAGACACAATTGAACAAATCAAATTATACAAAATACAAAACACGACAAAATATATTGCTGGCATGTCACCTAAGTACGATTAATATAATAGATAACTTTGCAAGGCCTCTAGTCGTGCACCAAACAAAGCCTTAGCTTATCGCTTAGCCTCTTACTCAGGAACCCAAAGTGAAAAAACAAACAAAATACAAATCAACGATTAATTAAAAAACAAATTAATGTTCAACAATTTGAGAATACGAATAATTAATCAAAATTTCAAGAGAAAATTAAAACGGGTAGATAACAGTAATGCACTGATTTTCCTTTATTTTCGTCGATTATTCCAAGCTTAATTTATCGTAATTTATATTATTTTGATAGCGCTTTTGAGATCCTTTGAATTGGCGCTTAATTAAATTTGTCTTTAATACTAGTAATAACAACACCACTAATCAAAGCTTATACAAACTTAAAAAATTATTTTAAACGATAAATTACGTCATAGTTGGTTTGCCGTGTTCAGAAATTTAAAAATAACCGAATTTAATTGAATGTTAATAAAATTAATTTGTTCGAATCAGCCTTTATTTTTCTTCGCTCGGTCACATGCAGGAGTGTTGGACGAGGCCACCAGGAAGTTGATGAACACTCCCAGGTGCCAACTGGCAGACGATGTTTCCATGCAATCCTTCAAACGCAAGCGATTCAACGCTCTTTGTTAGTAAAACTGTTTTTTGCAGCTATTATTTTTCGAAACTTCAGAATTAGATTTAAAAATTTGTTGCCTTGAAATAAAATTTCCTAACAACACGACATTTAATAAAAATGTTTGCAGACGGATGGTCGAAGAACCGATTGAGATACAACATCAACAACCTTCCCACCAACTCATACAACATGCAGGATTCAAGTAAGGTCCATCAAGCTCTAGCCACTGCATTTAAAGTGCGAAAACTCACGTTCATTTCTACAAAAATAAAATATTAACTATTGATATAATTTTAATCAACAATGAACCGATTTAAATTTTTATTTAGTAGTTCAATTAATGAACAATAAATTATTCACAAACAGGATTGGAGTTTTGTAGCAGATATTAAATTTGAGCAAAGCAGTTCTGATGATGAGGCGGATGTGAATGTAGCTTTCTACAGCAGGGACCACGGAGACGGCAACCCTTTTGATGGACCAGGAGCTGTACTAGCCCACTCCTTCTACCCTGACGATGGCAGACTGCATTTTGACGATGATGAAAGCTGGTCGACCAACAATTATGGTTTATCTTTATTTCTACATACAACACTTGCTTGCTGAATTCTTTCAAATAATCCTCAAAAATAGGGCTATCCTAAAAAATGTCATGTATTGAGTGGTGGGGGTTAAAATTTGTGGCACTTTGTGACAAGGAGAAAGGGGGGAGATTTTATGCTTTTCACTTTTTCAATTTCTATTGTGAATCATTAAAATTCGGTTAACATATTTTCATAAAAAAAAAGTTTTAAAATTTTATATGTTATCAGAACTTTGTTTGATTGATGCACCTCTTTGTTTAATTAATAAATTTTTTATGCACGCGTTTATTTAGATTCAATGCTATTTGATATATCAAATATAGCAAATAGCATTGGATCTAAATAAACGCGTGCCTAAAAAATTTATAGTTAATATGAATTTTCAATAATTATTCGTGATGTCGATAATTTGCATGAAACCTTTTAAATGGTAACTTTTAAAGTTATGACACACTTCAAAAGGGGGCTTCAAAAATTGTTACAGTTTGTGACGGGGTCGAGTCAAAAAATGTAAAAAGCGTGACATCTTTTATGGAAAGCTTTTAACAGCAAACATGTGTGTAACTATACAAAAATTCGTACTAAAAATACATTGATAACAATTTCGTAAGGAATAAATCTTCGACAAGTGGCCACTCACGAAATAGGCCACATAATTGGGTTGGGTCATACTCGGGTCAAAGATGCCGTCATGTATCCTTATTATCAATATTCAGCCGACTTCAAATTGCAAAGTGATGACATCAGAGGAGCAAGATATCTCTACGGTGAGCTGCAATGATGATTTATACGTTGAGTTAACTTTCGAACTGACCTTTAAACAAAAAAATATTTTCATAAAGTTCGTTTATTAAAATTCTATCAACACTAAGAAAAACATATACTAGTTGATGGTAAGATTGAAGTTAGTGTCAAAATCTTAAAAATTCAAACTTCGGAAAACAACAGAGTTTATCTGTAAAGCTTAATTTAATTTTTTCAAACGTACCGATGAACCGACTGACATGTAAACATAAAGATGGACCAGCTGGTAAGTAAATATAATGATGAACCAAAAAATATGCAAACGTCACCATCTGTTCAATCGTAAAACACATTCAAGCAAAACACTCTTCCCTTCTACAAACACTTTTACAAAATTCAACAATTTTTTATAAGTTTCATTCCCTGAAATCATCTGATGAAATAGCAGTTTTTTTTATGAAAATTTTTATTTTTAACTTATGTAAAAAAATTGTTTCACCAGGTAACCCATCAGACAACCCACCAGTCAATCAGCCACACCCCTCTACCAACATTCCGAAAAGTTCAACTGCATTCGGCAATCCAACCACCAACTTACCATTTAAAACTTATCCAAGAGTTTTTACTACAACACCCAGCTGGTCAGGTGGCTGGTGGAATAAATGGTGGGATCGCTGGTGGAGTGGATGGTGGATTGATTGATGATTGATTGAATGGGTAGTGAAACGATTGATATATGGCTGGACGGACGGGGGAATGATTGGTGATTTGTTGGATGGAGAGATAATGGATTGATTGATGATTGGTTGGATAAATGGTGGATTGATTGGTGATTGGCTGGATGGTGATTAGTTGGATAGATAAATGATGGATTGATTGGTTGGATGGATGGTGGATTGATTGAGGCTTGGTTTTTTAAGCTTTTATCATTAAAATAACATTTTTTTTAAATTTTTACTAAGGAATGTAAAAGTTTAGTGTTCCTAAAAGTGCCATCTAAACAAATGTATCATCAAAAACCAACAAAATCAAATAAAATTAACTCAGGCAAACTAAGCGTAAAAATTAAAAATTGAGCAGCTAAAATTGAAAAACAAATAAAAAAGAATATAATAGGGGAATCGCAGTTATAACCATTAAATATATTTCCGAACAGATAATAAATCGAAAACCGGAAATGTGGTAGCCTGGCGGCCGCAGGATTATCAAATAAAAAACTACCAACCTAAATTAGACATCGGTACTTTGTGAGTCGCACCCGGAATCGATCCTCGCCTTACCGCCACTGCGCGACATCAGCCATCCACGTTTTCTAGGGAAGCCATCTCAGACGACGCCATAATCTAGCGATTTCTTTACCGATCACTGATTCATTTTCTTGATTCACTTGTATTACAATCTAGATGTGAACAGAATCTTAAGACACAGAACCTCCCAGAATTTTGATAAAGATTTGTTTTAGACAAACCCATATCGAGCTTATCACGATAGCTGGAAGCTACAGCACTGGTGTTGGAAATTTGGAGATTTTTAAAGTTATAACATCGGTATCGGTAGTTACGAGAGTCAAGGGTTACAACAATATGAAATTATACTAATGTACCAGTCTCAATCTAAACTGTTTCCTGAGTGCTTAACCTATATATTTATTGAATCTAAACGACCTGCCCTGGCTTACGATCGCCTTGTTCTCACATCTTCTTAACTCGTGTTAAACACTCTTATGCTAAAACTGCGTTAGCTTTTTTTGGTCCTTTCCTCTGGAAGTCTCTGCCTCCTTCCCTAACAACTTCTCCATCATCACTTACAAAGTTCAGACCCATCTGTTTAAAAAAATTACTGAGGAGCGCTGTTAAACATCCCGGAAATAGCGCTTTACAAGCTAATTGATTAATTGGATGATTGATTGAAGATGGATTGATTGATGAATGGTTGGATGATGATGGATTGATTGTTGATTGATTGATTTATAGGATAGATAACAGATTGATTGATGATTGGCTGAATTGATGATTGACTAGTTGATGATAATTGGCAGTATAGAGGATGGATTGATTGGGTAGATGATGAATTGACAGTTGGTGAGGTAGATGGTGGATTGATTGATCGTGTAAGATTCTGACGCCAAAAATTGTACCATGTTAAAAAAACGACACCTACGCAAGACCGCACAGCAGCTGACTATCCATTTTACTAAGATTTGCACATAGTTTTTATTATTAATAATTTTTTCATGATCAATTTTTAAAAGTATAAACAGAACAACAGGCGTATGTAAATACGCGTCAACGCAGGCAGCACACAGGTCTTCTGCGATAGGCGAGGATCTTTCGGCATTCGGACTACATCACTGCAACAGCAGGACCATCACACCGTCTGATCATAACATGATGACCATAGGGTGACGCTCAGCTGTCACTCAACAACTGTGCCTACATTCAACGTCGTCGGCCAATGGGAGATGGTGTTTTGAATATTACAATAGTAATTTTGATTAGGGGCCATTCAAAAATTATGTCACGCTGTGGGAGGGTTTTTTCCCAGCGTGACAGTGTGCGACAGGGGGGAGGGAGGGGTTAACCTGATGTGTAAGTACGCATACTGTCTTTAGGCAGCTGCCGAAGTGTTGATACGTTCTAACGTTCCATGTCTGGTAATGTTCGATATTTACCATTTCAATTTTAGATATTTTAGATTGTTGTGGTTGCGCTTATGCAAGAGAACACCAAAGCAAAAAGAGCAGTAAGCGGAAAAAGAAAAAATAGTATTCGTTTGGATAGGCTGGACACGTGTTTTGGCCCTACCGGAGACTCATCAGCAGCCCGAATACCCGACAGAATAGTTATCGCAGTTTCTTATATAGCCCGCACAAATTATCTCGTGAGCTCGTGGTGTTTACATTTATTTTTGAGGACTGTTAGTTTTTATCATTAGGGTTTGCAATCCCGCATGATATTCTATGCACGCAGTATAAACAAAATGATTGATAAACGAAAATTATATTTTGATTTGTATGAGGCATTTAAGTTGGCTCATCCAAATAAAAGTGCACAGTCTCTACAGTTAGATACAAATGTGTTTTGGTGTAACGTGAAAGCTAAGGATGATGTGACTGATTTAGTTCAAAAAAACTGTGTGAATTAGGCAATGTGAAGCGGAAGAAGGCTGCCAATCTGCTGTCATTTTGGTCAAAGGTAAGTTATAAGTGTAAGGATGCATTTTTAACCTGCAAGAAGTGTGGTTTAAATCATGCCTCACTGGCCAGTTTGAAGACTCACACTCGAACATGTGGTATAGAACAAACCGTACAACGTACAAGACCAATCATGTTAGCTGCAAGGAGACAGAGAGGGTTGGTGGCAATAATAGCCTACGACGACAACATAGAAGATGTTGAATGGTTTGATGAAAAATTTCTGGATGTAGTTGGAAAGTTTTTCTGGTAATTTTTTGCGATTATACATATCATTCAGTGTTTAGAGTATACTTTGTTGGTATATTACATAGACTTTTCATGGGCCTAACCGAATAATGGCATATAAGATTGTATTTATTCAGGAAATGCTTCCCTATTCAAATTAAAATGTGGCCCCATGATGGACCATATCAGCCTCTGATAGACACGTCCACCTTCTAAGTTATTGCAATGTAAAAGTCACCTACATCATCGATGTCGGGCTCTTTTGACATTGGTAGAGAGATCCATCAAATTTCTGAAGTTTACTGTTCAATTTTAATATCAAGCCACAGAAAATAAAACACAATTTCTTTGTGTGCAGGGTTTAATGTAGACAAAGCTGGCAATGATACACGGAGCAAAATATGGCAACAGTGTGGACCGAACTGTAGAATCAGCCATGAACATGAGTTACGAGACATTTTTGTTCTGATTTAAAACTTTGTACTTAAGTCATGACGTTATCTATAATCTATTAATAAATAATAATAGATTATTTATAGGTCGTAGAATGGGGTGGTGGTGGTCGGGTGTGACAATTATTTGGGGGGGGTCAGCTGAGCGTGAAAGGATGTGGTTAAAAATGGCATAAAAAGCGTGACATAATTATTGAACGGCCCCTTAATTATCGACAAACTCATGTGATAGAACACTGCGAGTCTTAAAATCCGAAAGAAAGGAAACAACCCCGTTTTAAATCCAGTCCACATACTCTGAAACGTTTCGTAACTACCCAAATAAATCTCATCTTTTTCTTGATAGATGAGGAAAAAAAGCAGCACACTAGGATTTTATTACATAATTTCTCATATGTTATTTATATATCGCGTGCGTAATATGATAATTTAGCATCGAGATAGTTACCTGATTAACTGTGAAAGAAACATCTTGATGTGAAAATATGAACAATTAAATGAAACGGCCGGCTAAATCATATAACTAATAAAGAAAAATATGGTTTCTTGTTGAATAATTTAGCAAAATCAACATTAATTACAAATCGGCCTAGCAGCTGATATAAACAATAAAAACGGAAAGCTTGT